TAACAGATGAGGAACTAATTTGGGCTTGACTGAAGTAATGGGGGTTGTTTGTGAAGCCTTGTAGCAGTACAGCCCAGGCAATTTGCTGAGCCTGATGGGTGTCAGGATCAGTCCAAGTGAAAGCAGAGACAGGCTGGGATGAAGGGTATAAAGGAATAGTAAAGAAAGCATGTCTGAGATCCAGAACAGAATAATGGGTTACAGAGGGAGGTATTAAGGAGAGGAGAGTATATGGGTTTGGCACCACGGGGTGGATAGGCAAGACAATTTGGTTGATAAGGCACAGATCCTGAACTAACCTGTAAGACTTGTCTGGTTTTTGGACAGGTAAAATGGGGGATTGTAAGGAGAGTTTATAGACTTTAAAAGGCCATGCTGTAACAGGCGAGTGATAACAGGCTTTAATCCTTTTAAAGCGTGCTGCGGGATGGGATACTGGCATTGAGTGGGGTATGGGTGATTAAGTTTTAACGGGATGGTAAGGGGTGCATGATCGGTCGCCAAGGAGGGAGTAGAGGCATCTTATACTTGTGGTTTAAGGTGGGGAGATTCAAGGGGAGGATGTGAAGGAGGCTTTGAACTGGGGAAAAGGGCTGCAATGACGTGTGGCTGTAGTCCAGGAACAGTCGGGGAAGCAGATAATTTAGTTAAAATGTCTCGACCTAATAAGGGAGCGGGGCAGGTGGGGATGACTAACAAAGATTGCATAAAAGCATGTTGTCCAGGTTGGCAGAGTGGGGGAGTTTTAAGAGGTTTAGAAGCCTGGCTGTCAATACCCACAACAGTTATGGAGGCAACGGAAACAGGCCCTTGGAAGAAGGTAATGTGGAGTTGGTAGCCTCCGTACTGATTAAGAAGGGGACGGACTTACTCTCTACTGTGAGAGTTACCCAAAGCTCAGCGTCCATGATGGTCCAGTGAGCTTCTAAGGCAATCGGACAGTGTCAGTCTTCAGCCGCTAAGCCGAGAAGATCTGGGAAGGAGTCAGTCAGAGCCTTGGGCCAATTGGACGGTCCAATTTCCGGTGGGGTCCCGCACAGACGGGACACGGCTTAGGAGGAATCCCAGGCTGCGGGCATTCCTTGGTCCAGTGGCCAGATTTCCGGCACTTGTAGCAAGCTCCTGGGGGAGGAGGTTGTGGAGGAACCCCTGGCAGCTGTGGTTCAGGCGTTTGGAGTTCTTGTGTGCTGGAGATGTGGCTGGGGTTTGTCTCACAGTGGAGGCAAGGAATTGCAACTCAGAAATACATTGCTACTTGGCTGCCTCTACTCTATTATTGTACACTTTGAAGGCGAGGTTAATTAAGTCCTGTTATGGGGTTTGAGGGCCAGAATCTAATTTTTGGAGCTTTTTCTAATGTCAGGAGCTGACTGGGTGATAAAATGCGTATTAAGAATAAGGCGGCCTTCGGGCCCCTCTGGGTCTAGGGTGGTAAAGCGTCTAAGGGTTGCTGCCAAGCAGGCCATGAACTGGGCTGGGTTTTTATATATGATGGAAAAGAGCCTAAATGCTAACTGATTTGGGAGAGGTAGGATAAAGAAAAAAGGAGCATTAACCTTGACTGTGCTTTTAGCTCCAGCCACCTCTTTAAGAGGAAATTGTTGGGCAGGTAGGGGAGGGCTAGTCACAGAATGAAACTGTAAACCAGACGCGGTGTGAGGAGAGGAGGTGATAGAAAGATTATAGGGTGGAGGGGGCTGAGGAAGAATTGGGGCCTGGCTCGGCCTGGCGAGGAGCAGCCTGGGGAGAAGGGGAGAGGTCAGACAGGTCTGTAGAAAAGGAAGATTAGAAAGACTCAGTGACGCTTGGGGTTGGGACAGAGGGGACAGGTGGGCGGGAAAGAAGGAGGATTTGGGACAAGTGGCATTGGGAACAGAGACTAGGGAGGGAACAATGTGTAAAAGAATGCCTGGACGTCAGGCACCTCAGACCGTTTGCCTATTTTACGACAAGAATTATCTAGATCTTGTAGGATGGAAAAATCGAAAGTGCCGTTTTCGGGCTATTTGAAACCACTGTCGAGTTCGTATTGGGATTAAGCCGCGTTGCAGACGAAAATAAGACACTTAGATTTTAGGTCAGGCGAGAGTTGAAGAGGTTTTAAGTTATTGAGAACACAGGCTAAGGGAGAAGAGGGAGGAATGGAGGGTGGAAGGTTGCCTATAGTGAAGGAGGGAAGTTTAAAGAGAAGGGTATACACAGAGAAGGGGGTGGGGAGCAGCCAAAGCAGGCGTCCCCGCAATTGACTTGCCACCAAGGGAATGTGGGTGAATGATCAAGGCAGGCGTCCCCGCGGAGATCAGACACCCATGGAACACGGGTGAATAATCAGAGAGGAGTCCCCGCAATGATTAAACACCAAGGGCAGACTGCCTTCCCTAGTCAGTGACTGGCGCCGGAGTTTTGGGTCCACGGATAAAATGTGTCTCCTTTGTCTCTACCAGAAAATGAAAGGAATTGAAATTAAGAGAAGGGAGAAATTGAAGTGTAGCGTCAAGATTGAAAGAGAAAGAGGTTGAGGGATAGTGAGAGACGTCAGAGAAGAGAGTAAAAAGAGGTCACTTACCAGATTTAAAATTGCTGAGATGTTCCTTGGGCTGATGGGTCTGAGGACCCGAGGTCGTAGGTGGATCTTTCTCACGGAGCAAAGAGCAGGAGGACAGGGGATTGATCTCTCAAGGGAGGTCCCCCATCCGAGTCAGGGCACCAAATTTCATGCCCATCCCTATGAAGAGACCACGAAACAGGCTTTGTGTGAGCAACATGGCTGTTTATTTCACCTGGGTGCAGGCGGACTGAGTCTGAAAAAGGAGTCAGGGAAGGAAGATGGGGGAGGGCTGTTTTATAGGGTTTGGGTCGGTAAAGGAAAATTACAGTCAAAGGGGTTGTTCTCTGGCGGGCAGGTGTGGGGGTCACAAGCTCAGTGGGGAAGCTTTTGAGCCAGGATGAGCCAGGAAAAGGAATTTCACAAGGTAATGACAGCAGTTAAGGCAGGAACACGCCATTTTCACTTCTTTCGTGGTGGAATGTCATCAGTTAAGGCAGGAACCCTCCATCTGGATGTGTACGTGCAGGTCACAGGGGATATGATGGCTTAGCTTCGGCTCAGAGACCTGACAGTATCACCGACCTCATGAGCTCAGTTATTCGGAGCTGCTGGTTTAACCTCCCAAGTCTTCCCGGACCCGTGCCCTCCTCTTGGGCAGCGTTACTGACCACCATGATAGGACGTCTGTTCCCATCTAGCCTCCACCCTGCAGCCAGTCATCTCCGTAAAACGAACACCTGGCTTAGTTTCTGCTGGAAACCGTTGAATAGTCCCCCCTGTTTTCTGGAAGGGTCTGAGCAGCTCCCCGTTGCGTCCACAGCCCCCGGGGCCTGCCTCCTGCAGGTGCCGCTACTTTGTCACCAAAGCATCCTCAGCGCTCGCACCTGCGTGAAGCTGTGCTCAGGCGCTCCCGCCGAGGGAACCGCCTTCCCAAAGCTCTGCGCTCTAATTCTCACTCCTTTACCAAGAGGTAGCAGTGTGGGGAAACTAGAATTCTCCAGGGACTCTCCCCTGTACTTCGTGACCGTCTGTGGAATCCTTGTTTTAGGATCTGCAGGTCGTTTCCAGTCGTGCGCGCAGCACGGAGGCTGCCGGCCCTGCCCAGCGCTGGGCTCTCTCCGCCTCTCTCCCACACGCCGGCCTTTCTGTGCCAGCTGGCTGTGCACCCAGGTCAGGAAGCCCAAGGTCGGGGCGTTAACCCAAGGGCCCTCCCGCGATCCCTCCGAGGGCGGAGAGGCGTCTGCGCCCGAACCACCTGCGGAGACACCTGGAGCGCCGGCAGAGCTCGGCTGTCCTCGCGGTGCGGAGCCCGACGCGCATTCCTGGGACCGGGATCCGCCGTCCGCGCCTGCGAACGGATTTCTGCCTCCGCTGCACGCGCAGCGCGCAGACCTGAGCCGGCCCCGCGGAACCCCGGTTCGAGTCCCGGCCCGAGCGCGGCGTCGGGGGCAGCGGAGACGGGCGGCAGCCGCTAGGGACCCTCGGCGCCTCGGCCTCGCCGCGATGAGGTCCCCGCCCCTCCTCAGGTGACGGATCCCCGCTGCCCCGGCGGCGGCCCAGCGCGCCCTCCCGGGCTACCCACCACCCAGCGCGTGCCTCGGAGCCTCCCGCCCTCCCCGGGTTCCGTGGCCAGCCAGGCGCCCCAGGCGTGCGCCGCGCCGAGCCGCGTCATTAAGCCCGCTCTCCGCAGCTTTCCTCTGCAGATCCCCTTGCTACCCCCACCCTGCGGAGGGGCTGTTCACCAGATGCCAGGAAATCAGGGCTGGGGACGCAGGCCGGGGGCTCCAGCGGCTGGACACCGTGTCCTTCCTGAACCTGGTGGTGGAGTGCGCCCGCCTCCGCCTCTCCCAGACACCCACCCGCAGTGCCCAGCCCCGTCCCTAGGGTCTAGGACTGAACGTCTGTCCCCGGCCTCCATGCTGCGCTCTCCTGGCCCTGGGCCCGCCCAGAAGAGCCGCCTGTGTCGCGGGCCCCCTCCCTGGCTCCGGCCCCTAAAGCGCCCCCGGCACAGCTTCGCGGCCCTCGGCGCTTGGTGGGGCCAGCACCTTCCCCTTGTCACCGTTCTCCTTTCTCCTTCCAGCCCGCGCCTCTCCTGGAGGAGAATGGTGGGCGTCTTCTTCCTGCCGTTCATCTTACCAGCTTTTGCTCCTCGGTTTAAGCACGAAGAGAGCCTCATGCTTGGAACAGCGCATCCGCCCCAGCCCAGGTTTGCCTGAGAGCCGCGTTCCCGGGGCGGGAGGGGAGCGACCTCACCTTTCTTGGAGAGAATCATGTCGCGATTGTGCACAGAACACGTCCTACTAACAAGAACTTCTGTTTTTCGCTAGGGTTTCAGCCGTCCCTCCGAGCCCTCTCCCGAGTTCTCTCTCCCTTTCCGCTTTCTTTCCCTCGCCCGCCCCCTCCAGGTTTAACTGGTCTCATCTGACCCCTCTGGAGCTGAAGAATCGATCTGTGGGACTCGGAACTGCAAGCACAGGTCGGGGTAAGCCGCACTTCACGCTGGAGGGCCACAGGTTCCTCATCTGCGGGGGCTCCATCCACTATTTCCGGGTGCCCAGGGCGTACTGGAGGGACCGTCTGCTGAAGCTGAAGGCCTGTGGCTTCAATACTGTCACCACGTGAGTGCTGCCCTCACCTCCGGGATCTTGTTCCCCTACAAGCGCAGGGTAGCAAGAGCCTCCGATGTTGGGGGCCCAGCGTGAGGACTTACCTTCCGCACAGTCGTTTCCAGCACATACATTTTATGCTTAAGCGTCCAGTTGTCACTTACGTCTCATGCTGAGCTTGCTCTGTGATCCAAAACTTGGATAGGGGTTCGTGGGAGAATCTCAGGGGAGAAGGTTATTTCCTCAGGAATCTGTCTGTCTAGTGAAGGAACACCAGGAGCCCTTGGGAGCACTCAGTTTAATGACAGAAGCTTAAGGCACACTTACAGATAAATATGTACTTACAGATACATGCTTTTATTTTTATTTATTTATTTTTTTTGAGACAGGGTCTCGCTCTGTTTGTTGCTGGGGCTGGAGTGCAGTGGCCCGATCTCAGCTCAGGGCAGCTTCTACTTCTCTGGCTCAGGTGATGCTCCTGCCTCAGCCTCCTGAATAGCTGGGGCCACAGGTGCATGCCACCACACCAGGCTAGTTTTTTGAATTGTTTGTAGAGATGGAGTTTCGCCTTGTTGCCTGGACTGGTCTCAAACTCCTGGACTCAAGCAATTCACCCTTTAAAAGGAAACACCATGGTTGTCCTCATACCTGTATACAACTGACCAGCCACCCTGTATGACCATAGGAATGCAAAACTGCTCCAGAATGAGAGGCCCCGTCCTCCTGAGGGCCTGCCTCCACCATATTGTGGCAAGCTTACCATCACACTCACTGTAAAGGAGAAGATGCTTAGAGGGCCCTGTGCCTTATTGCAGAGCTGGTATTGAAGGGTGAATTTGAAGCTGAGAGGCAGTAAATTGACAACTGGTTCATTTAAAATGCAAAGAATTTAATCAGAAATAATCGTTGAGTTTTATTGAGAGCTGCTACTGCATCTCTTGGGGGGACAATGTGGTTTTTCTTCACCATTCTTTTGAATTGCTGAATTACATCGGCAATTTTTCTGATAGTCAAGCAGCCATATGGTTCTAGTATAAACTCTGCTTGGCTCTGAGAGATGCACACATTACATACACACAGATTGCTAGACTTTATTTGCTAGTGTTTTATTTCAAATGTGTTTATGATTATAAGCAAAACTCATTTAAAATTTTATTTTGTTAGTATTCTTGTCCAGTTTTGAATCAATCTTATAATAAGCTCATAAAGTGAGCTTATTTTAGTTATTGAAAATATTTTGCACAAGAATTATCTTTACCCTGAAAGTTTTTAAAGATTCACCTGTAAACTCTGTGACTACTATCTTTTGTGGTGTGTGAGATGAAGGATTTTGGGACAACATAGCTCTTTGAATGGTTATTAACTCACGTCCTCTATTTCTTCTTGAATACATCCTGCTTTCTCCCTCCCTCCCTCCCTCCCTCCCTTCCTTCCTTCCTTCCTTCCTTCTGCCTATATTTTCGGAATTCTATTGTCACAGTTTCTGGGTTAAATGTAATTTTTCCTTTTTCTACTTTATTAAATTTTTAGTACCTTTTTCTCTTCTCTTGCCTCCTCAGTTTGTCTTCCTCCTCCTTTTTTTCCCTGGAGTTAATATTTAGCTTCTTTTTACTTCAAGTCGGTCTTTTGTGTTTTGTAAATATATTCATTCAAGGATACGAATGTTTTTTGAGGTGTTTGCTGTTGGTTACTAGCTACATATTGGCTGTATTACGGCGTGCTTCTGAATGCTTCATTTATTTTCCAGTATG